GGGTTGGGTTGGGTTGGGTTGGGTTGGGTTGGGTTGGGTTGGGTTGGGTTGGGTTGGTTGGGTTGGGTTGGGTTGGGTTGGGTTGGGTTGGGTTGGGTTGGGTTGGGTTGGGTTGGGTTGGGTTGGGTTGGGTTGGGTTGGGTTGGGTTGGGTTGGGTTGGGTTGGGTTGGGTTGGGTTGGGTTGGGTTGGGTTGGGTTGGGTTGGGTTGGGTTGGGTTGGGTTGGGTTGGGTTGGGTTGGGTTGGGTTGGGTTGGGTTGGGTTGGGTTGGGTTGGGTTGGGTTGGGTTGGGTTGGGTTGGGTTGGGTTGGGTTGGGTTGGGTTGGGTTGGGTTGGGTTGGGTTGGGTTGGGTTGGGTTGGGTTGGGTTGGGTTGGGTTGGGTTGGGTTGGGTTGGGTTGGGTTGGGTTGGGTTGGGTTGGGTTGGGTTGGGTTGGGTTGGGTTGGGTTGGGTTGGGTTGGGTTGGGTTGGGTTGGGTTGGGTTGGGTTGGGTTGGGTTGGGTTGGTTGGGTTGGGTTGGGTTGGTTGGGTTGGGTTGGGTTGGGTTGGGTTGGGTTGGGTTGGGTTGGGTTGGGTTGGGTTGGGTTGGGTTGGGTTGGGTTGGGTTGGGTTGGGTTGGGTTGGGTTGGGTTGGGTTGGGTTGGGTTGGGTTGGGTTGGGTTGGGTTGGGTTGGGTTGGGTTGGGTTGGGTTGGTTGGGTTGGGTTGGGTTGGGTTGGGTTGGGTTGGGTTGGGTTGGGTTGGGTTGGGTTGGGTTGGTTGGGTTGGGTTGGGTTGGGTTGGTTGGGTTGGGTTGGGTTGGGGTTGGGTTGGGTTGGGTTGGGTTGGGTTGGGTTGGGTTGGGTTGGGTTGGGTTGGGTTGGGTTGGGTTGGGTTGGGTTGGGTTGGGTTGGGTTGGGGGTTGGGTTGGGTTGGGTTGGGTTGGGTTGGGTTGGGTTGGGTTGGGTTGGGTGGGTTGGGTTGGGTTGGGTTGGGTTGGGTTGGGTTGGGTGGGTTGGGTTGGGTTGGGTTGGGTGGGTTGGGTTGGGTTGGGTTGGGTTGGGTTGGGTTGGGTTGGGTTGGGGTTGGGTTGGGTTGGGTTGGGTTGGGTTGGGTTGGGTGGGTTGGGTTGGGTTGGGTTGGGTTGGGTTGGGTTGGGTTGGGTTGGGTTGGGTTGGGTTGGGTTGGGTTGGGTTGGGTTGGGGTTGGGTTGGGTTGGGTTGGTTGGGTTGGGTTGGGTTGGGTTGGGTTGGGTGGGTTGGGTTGGGGTTGGGTTGGGTTGGGTTGGGTTGGGTTGGGTTGGGTTGGGTTGGGTTGGGTTGGGTTGGGTTGGGTTGGGTTGGGTTGGGTTGGGTTGGGTTGGGTTGGGTTGGGTTGGGGTTGGGTTGGGTTGGGTTGGGTTGGGTTGGGTTGGGTTGGGTTGGGTTGGGTTGGGTTGGGTTGGGTTGGGTTGGGTTGGGTTGGATTGAAAGAGATCACTTTCAAAGGAAGCGCAGTGTATAATCAAGATCAAACTGCACTTAAGGTAAGTTCGTGTGATCTTATAATTATGCACCGCGCTTCCTTCTTCAGATGGTAACTAAACGTAGATGTTTAAAGAGTGTAATAAAAAGGGAGAGTTGAAGACTGTTGTAATTTAGTTCTACCTGTTGACTTGACACAACATTTTTTATATTTTAAAATAAAATTATTTTTATGTACTCAGATCCTTATTTCCTGCGTATCGATATTGCTACCTACCACCTCCATTTTTGCAGTTGGTGTACTACGTATGGCCCCTGTGGAACTTAGATAAGCGAGCCACTGAATGTTGGTCAGTTAACTTATTGCACTTGCCTGCGCAGTTTTGATTACCACTCGTCATGTTGGCTTAGGTCGCAGTTTTTCCCGTATCTTCTTTGTATGCTAGTTTGTTGAGATGGTAATTCCTTGTCAGCCTTTGGTCAAAATGACCAAGAGGTATTTGGCTTTTGTGACATGAAATAACCATGTTGTTTAGTACAAGTGAGCCTGTAAGTACAAGATGAGAGACTTTTGTTTGGAAGCAAATTTCTACAAGGCCGTTTATTTTAACTCCATAAAAGGTTATTACTTTTTTAATTTAAAATTAACAAAGAGGTTAAAAAAATAAAAGTAAAAATATAAGAAAAATAAAAACATATTTGTTCTAGTAGCGTAAAAAATAGGGAATAAAAGTTGTCACATACACTGATAACGCGCTACTATTTAAATTTTTCAAAAGTTAGTATATGTCAAAATATGACTTTCTAAAAGAGCATATTGGTCATGACATTTAAACAAAAAATATTTAAAGGCGTTTTTGATTTTTAACAACTTTTGAATTTTGATTTTAATATTTCAACATCTTCTATCTCGGTAATTAAACCCTTTAAATGTTCATGTTTCTATATCAAAATTCATCAATTACTGAGAGCTCCCTGTGGTAGAGCGTTGTCGATCCAATATAGTGAAACCCTGTATATAGTTGATGTCTACATAATTTTGTTAAACAGTTAACCATTTCTGCTAGAAATTCAGCAGTACTGTCAGATCCCGTTTCGGCGGGTGAAATAATGAGAGTACATATATTCTTTTTTACATGCCTAAGTAAAAAGTACTGGAGGCTGAGATGTGAATTAATTGTATTTCTAATTAATTGATCTAACTTGAAGCCACTCCAAATCCTACACTTTCTTGAGAATATAGGATTGAAAGGATGGTTATTCGCTCCGTGCGAGACAGCCGCGCCAATTCACTTTCGTACTAATGGACTATTTCTGCCTATACTGACAATACAATTTTTATTAGAATTCGTAAATAAAAAGTATATATGTTAGTTTTAATAAAAGTATATGGGTTTGTAAAACAAGTAAAATATTAATTTATTATTATTATATATTTTTATCGCTTAAACTAAAAAAATTAAATATATTCAATAAAAATCAATAATAAAATACAGGCAGGCAACAGTATTTACGGGAAAATGTATGAGAAGTTGCCTAAGTCTAATAAGTTGGCAATGAAGAATTAACCTATTCTGTCAAAATAAAAAAACATCTTTAAATAATACGCGTATAGTTAAAATGTATAAACAGAAGGATTGTTATTTATATTTTTAATTTTGTTCGAAAGAAAACAGAATGAATGATTAAAACTGGTTTTTTATCAGTAAGTCACAAAATTGCATTCCAGCCACATACTGTTGTGTCACCTTAGCCACTGCGATTTGCATCGCGGCTAGATACCTAACTCTTATTACCGGCTCTAGATGTCACATGTCCGTATTTTCGACTAGGTGTTCTTATGGACTTTTGTGAAATAATAAATAAGTTTATATGTGAAATTGCATTATTAGTGTTGTCCATCTACCTAACACAACATGGTGGCAGCTGTAAAAGTAATATAATAGTATGTAAAATAAGTACATTTGTGTTAGCTTTTCCAAGTCAGATTCGCGCCAAGTTCAACCTAATTTTCGGTAAGTCCTAAGGCTTTTAAGACATTACAAGCAGCAAATTTTCACTAACCTACAATGGCGGAAGCAGCAGTTACAATAGTTGCACCTCCGGACAAATTTAATTTTTCAAGCCCAGCGGGTTGGTCCTATTGGATTAAGCGCTACGAGAGATATATATCTATCTCTGGTCTTTCAAGCAAGTCTGAGGAGGACAAAATTAATTTATTTTTGTATTTTATGGGTGAGGAAAGTGAAGACATTCTCATGCAATTTCCTACACAACCAACTACTTTTCAAGCAATGAAAAAAGCTTTTGAGGATCATTTTATACCTCGTAAGAATGTTATTTTCGAAAGGTTTCAATTTAATTCACGGGTTCAACATCCAGGTGAATTGATGGACGCTTTTATAACTGCATTGCATTCACTGGCAATAAAGTGTAAATTCTCAAATCTAAAAAGCGAACTCATTCGAGACCGAATTGTAGTAGGTATGGCTGACAAAAATACTAGCGAACGTTTACAGTTACAAGGTCAACTTACTTTAGATAAAGCTGTTTTAGCTGCAAAACAAGCTGAAATGCAGGCTCAGCAGAGCAATATTTTGCACAATGAAAATCAGTTGAATGCTATTAAACGAGGTAGAGCTCGATTTTTTTTTGTGAAGAGCACATTTCGTCATAGCTATGCCACACTCATAATAGCTAAATAAATGCAACAAGTACAAATAAGTAACACTAAGCTACTAAATTCAACTTGTATGAGCGGGGATGAGCGGCAGGTGACTTCAATCACGTTTAAATCTGTCTGACCACGCCTACAAACTCAAATTGATTTCTGCACAATATGACGAAGAGTGCTCTTCACAAAAAAATCGAGCTCTAACACATTCTACAAGGCTCGAACAGATAACCCTAAGACATGCCAATATTGTGGTCTTAGCTATTACCAACGTGAGGCATGTCCTACAAGAAATGGAAAGTTTCGCCGCTGCTCAAAAAAGGGCACGGGATCAAATATGCAGAAGTGCAGGTTTTAGTGGAAAAGAAGTAAAATCCATTACTGTAGAACATGAAATTAACATGGATGAAGAACAGTTTTTGGGACAAATTAATATTTTAAATTTAAGTAATAACTCACCTTGGTTTGTTAATATACAAATTGAAAATTTTGATAAAACTGTTCCATTTTTGATTAATAGTGGGGCAGATATAATTTGTCTTCCAAAAACAGTGTTGCCAAATGTTCCAATTTCCCTTTTACCTTGTAAAGAAATTATATCTGGCCCAGATGGTAAACATCTTAATGTTTTAGGTAGGTACAACAAAACTAATTTTAGGGTATAATAATATCAAACATTCTAGCGTTATTTATATTATTGAAGATTTAAAAACACCTATATTGGGTCGGCCTGGCAAGGGCGGATCCTGAATTTTTTTCTGGGAGGGGCACAAGGGGCGGACGGGCCAAAAAATAAACAATAACTAGTGTCATTCTTTTAAGTTTATTTCTACAAGTTCAAGTATGTATAGGAAGGTTTATGAAAGTGTCAAAACAATGAAAAAATTAAATGTTCAATAAAGACAGTTTTCTTTTATGTTTCCTGCTAAAGATGTCCAACACTTCATTAGCGTACATTTTTGCAGCAATGTCTTGATGGATATGCATTAAAGCCAATCCATTTAAACGCTCTTCTGTCATCCTGTTGCGAAGGTATGACTTTAATCGACGTAAGGTGGAGAAAGACTGCTCGGCAGTGCTAGTAGTCACTGGAAACGTGCACAGCAATTGACAAAGAGTTCTAATATTTGGCAGCACCGTTGCTCTTTTGTAGGCATCTACTGGAGACGCTGGGATATTTTCTTTCATCTGTTGCCAAATTTTTAGCTCTCCCTTCAAAGCTAAGAAACAAGGAAGATCTTCTTTATATACTTCAGCGCCTTGCAAAACATCCTCTATATCTCCGTCGCTGAAGTTATGGGACAGCAACTTTTGCAACTTTCCTATTGTTTGCATTGCAGCGCTAGGGAACCTGGATGACATTTCACTTAATATATAATCTAGAAAAGGAATATGTATATACTGAAAGTCGGTAATATTCTTCAACTGACTGAGTCTGAACGTTCGGCCGATTTGTTTGACTGCCGGCGATTCTGCGGACCGTAATGTCTGCACCAATTTCATTTGCCATGACCTCAGCCTGATTGAAAAGTTTTTTGAATGTGTCCGTGCTAGTTTCACGTTGCCTCTTTATGCTTGCTGTGGTCGTATTAATAAGCTGAACTGCAGAAAGTATATCAATTTCAATGGCTTGTAATGATCGGGATAAGGGCAGCGTGATTCCTAAAATATCAGAGAGGATTACCAGGCTTATGATAAATTCCGATGACATTATAGATTGGAGCAACGAAAATGGAGGTGTAGCACTCCTTCTGTTTCCTTGATCTTGATCAGCCATTTTTTGTAATATTTCAGGAAGACAAGGCAAGACATCCAAAAATGTCAAAACCGCTTCATGCCTTTCCACCCATCTGGTCTCACACATTTTTTTTAATATATTCTGTTTTTCCTTTGGCAGATGAGCTTGAATTTCTTCTCTGAGAAGATGTATTCGTTGAGCTGAGTCACGAAAGAAATTTGCTACACTTGAGATAACCCCTACGGCATTTCTTATGCTGGATATGGTGCAGGCTGTACTAATAGCTAAGTTGAGTCGGTGACTTGCACAGTGGGTAAAAAAGGCTAAAGGCTGAATGCTGGATATGCGTGCCTGAACACCTTTTATTTTACCACTCATGTTGGCTCCTCCATCATATGCTTGACCACGGCACAATGTAATGTCCAGGTTAAGGCTTTCTAACGCCTTCAAAATATGGTGAGCAATGTTTTCACCAGTAAGTTTAACAACTTCAACAAACATCAGAAAGTCTTCTTGTATTTCCTTTGTATCAACATCGAAATAGCGAATACAAATGGTAAGTTGCTCACAAACAGAAACATCTGTGGTCTCATCAGCTATAATGGTAAAAAATTTAGACTTTTTAATTTTGTCCACTATTTTGTTTCTGATTAATTCCCCACAGCATTCAATTAAATCATTTTGTGTCGTCTTGCTAATGTAGGAAGCGTTTTTAGCGCAAGTTTTAACGTGTTCATGCAGTATCTCATCTCCAGCATCGATTCGGAACTTTAACAACGCTCTGAAGTTTCCTTCTCCGTGTCCGTAAGAACTTTCCGATTCTAAGCTACCGTCATCCCTGTGACCTCTGAACGGTATGTTTTGCCTTCCACATAATATTATTGTTTTTATAATGGGTATAAGTTTTTTGCGATTCTCTTCAACAGTTTTCATTTCCTGTAATCTCATTTGGACAACATCTTTTGATTTTCCCTCCATTACCATCAAAAAATTTTGAGATGCTACCACGTTCGCTTGGTGGTAATTCGTGCTCTCGTGGTGTGTGATCATTTCGATCGCTTTTTTATATCTTGTCAGTGGTTGCGACACCAATTTTCCCAGCTTCACATCATTTGTACCCGCTTCACGTCGACCAAAAAGAATGCACATTTTACACAATCCGCCACCAGCAATTTTACTGTATGCTAGCCATTCATGTTCCTTTAACCAGCTTATTTGAAAAGACCTGTTCTTTTTTCCCTCACGCACCAGTGGAAACTTAAAGTCTGTTGTAGGTTGCCAAGTATATTTCAACCACTGGTACCTTCCTTCGTCTGTAAGAACTAACCCGTCTTGCTGGTTGATTAGTAGTGTACCTGAAAATAAAAATAAATAATTAACTGTTGGATATCTACATATAGAAGTGCGATTGTTATAATTTATTTATAAGAAACTGAAATAGCCTAGCCGTAGCCCAGTAATAGCTATTTAATTAATGATGGTTTTATCTATGCAAAGCACGCACTGTTGGGGTGATTGTATTCAATAAAAGATAGCATGCCATGCTTATGCGGCTTCAGGGACGCGCTCTGTCCTACACGACGTCTAATCTAACCATAACACAACCATGGGTCGACCGCGCTCGTGCGTGAATTCACTCGTGACGAGTATTCGCTACGTGTGACCGAGGCTTAACACAGGAGCAAGGTGTGTATATATAACTTGTAGGTAAATATATGAAGCTGCGGCGAACGAAGAATAAGCTGCACATAGAATAGACGTTCGCAATTCGCAGTTACTCGAAAATATTGAAATACACAAACATTGCAATACTCACCTATATCTCGTTGCTGCAACATGTAACTAGTAGAGGCTGATGCTGCTGATGGATTTGTTGGCATTGATGTAGTTGCCGCATGCGTGGATGCACATGGGATACCACTAAATTCAATCCCTTTCCCTGTATCTGAAACTGCATCGTCGGTTTTTTGTTTTTTGGTAAAGAAAAACGCACTTATGCTCTTTTGTCTTTTTCTGTCTTTATCACTCATTATATTATATACAGTAATATTATTCGCTAAAACTACACTGAACTAAGTAGGCTCTACAAAGAGAAGTTTATTTTAGTTTATGTAATTATCACGAGCGCATGAAAAACTCGGCCGGCTATGACCTGTCGCGACCTGGACCTGACTGATATTTTCACTCATGTTCATTCTGTTATTTAATTCATATACTTATATGTGATGAATTCGTACGAAAATAAAACTCACTATTTCTTAAAACACTATTTTCACCAAAATAAAATAATGTGCCCAACGACACGATCTCTACACTAGCGGACAATATAATAATTAAAATATGACTACACACTCTAGTTTATATTTCTGCCGAGACGGCGACATTGATAGAATATCTATAACTAACAATAACAAATTTAACAATGTCAAGTATGCAAAAACGGTGAAGTCCTGTTGGTGCTCACATATATGTTAACAACTCTGATAATTTGATTTGCTTCTAAGTATGTACTGTGCTAGAATCTCCACAGTACACAAAAATACTGTCTGGGGGGGGGGGGGGGGGGGGCACGTGCCCCCCGTGCCCCCCCCCCTTAAATCCGCCCATGCGGCCTGGCATTATATTTCTGAATATTTTACAATTTCCAAGTACTTTGTTGCAGTCTAACAACATTAACAAATTGAATAGTAACATTTCTTTAGTACATATTCATCAAGAATTTCTTATACTTTTTGATCTGTTAGGTGAATTTAAACAAGAAATATTAATTAATATTAAACCTGATTCAACACCATTTTTACAAACAACACCTCGTATAGTTCCATTACCCCTTTTACCTAAGCTTGAGGCAGAGTTAAATAGGTTATTTAAACTTGACATTATTAAACCTGTAGATTATAATACAGAGTGGACTTCTCCTATAGTAGTCGTTCCAAAAGGTGATTCAGTTAAGATATTAGAAAACTACACAGAACTCAACAAAGCAGTTTGCGGGCACATTTTCTTATCCCTAACTTTGAAAGTTCTTTAAATAAACTTGGCGGCTCCTCTATTTTCTCAAAATTGGATGCCAATCTCAGTTTTTATCAACTACGTTTGAATAAACTCTCTCAACCCCTCACTACATTTATCTGCCCTTTCGGTAGATTCCTTTTTAGGCGGTTACCGTTTGGTATCTCATGTGCTCCCGAGTTTTTCTCTTCGAAATTTTTAAAACTTTTTTCTGAATTACAGGATGTCATATCGCACATCGATGACATACTTGTTCATGCACCCACAGTAGAAGAGCATGAGACTATACTACGTGAAGTTCTTACTCGCTTAGAAAAAGAAGATGTTACTCTTAATGAGTCTAAGTGTCAAATTGGGGTAAATAAAATACATTTTCGTGGCCATGTGGTTTCAGGATCAGGGGTAGAAATAGATCCTTCTCGTGTTCAATCTATACTAGATTTTCCAGCTCCTACTTGTAAAAAAGAAGTCCAGCAATTCTTGGCATGATTAATTTCGCTTCTCGATCTATTCCCAATAAATCTGAAATTTTAGAGCCAATTTCTAGTTTATTAAAAAACGACGTTAGCTTCCTTTGGGATGTTCCTCAACAAAATACATTTACAATTATAAACAAGTTACTTATTTACTAAAATTTCTTTTCTGTTATTTTTTGATTATACTAAGAAAATTATAGTTAGTGCTGATTCTTCATCTTACGGTTTGAGTTGTGCTTTAATGCAGGAACATAATAACCAGAGATAATGAGTGGCTTATGGGTCTAGAACCTTAACACCTACAGAGATCCATTATGCTCAAATCGAGAAAGAAGCTATAGCATTATCTTGGGCTTGTGAGCATCTTCAAGAATATTTGATTGATATACCTATTATTTTAGAAACATACCATAAGCCACTGCTTCAAATTCTTTAATCAAAACATCTTGATGAGCCTACCCCAAGGCTTCAAAGATTTAGAATTCGACTTATGCGTTACGATTATAAGGTTATTTACACTCCAGGAAAATATTTAGTAGTAGATGATGCTCTCTCGAGAAACCCCTTTAAAAGTACATCACTTAGTGAAGAATTATCTTCTGAAGTGGAGGCACACGTTAAACTTATTGTTAAGTCACTACCAGTTAAAGACTGTTTTTTGGAGAAAATTATTTCCGCTCAAAATTCCGATGTGATTTGTAAAAAATGAAAACATATTTCAAATTCTGGTTGGCCTGAAAAACATAAGATATCCCCAGAATTATTGCCATATTTTCAATATCGTAACGATATAAGCCTAGGTGAAAATATATTATTAAAAGGTAGCCGAATAATAATTCCATCATGTCTTCAGTTTGAAGTGCTTAATTTTATACATACAGGACATCAGGGAATCGTAAAATATGGAGAACGCGCTAAAATGTGAGTATGGTGGATCGGAATATCCACACAGATAGAAAATATGGTAAGTGTTGGTAACAATGTTAAATCTAGTTAGTTTTAAGTCTACCTATATGTAAGTTGGTAACATGAACAAGTTTGACAGACAGATGGGGCACTAAAAATGCATGGTCACAAGTGTAGTTAAAACTGTTTCTTTTTATAAATCTTAAAGTTCTTACTAAATAAAAGTATAAAAGTATTAAAAACGATTTCGCTTTATCCACAAACCCTCACAGGTTATGGGCCCAGGCAATTAAAGTAATCGGTCAATAGATATAAAAAGAATCCAGGAGTTTTTTAGACGAAGAAGAAGGAAGGTTAAGATTCTTCGGTTTGGCGCTTTTTTTTTGTTGTTTTGTAGTCTTTGCTGAATAGTAACGTAAAATTCAAACTAATTTATTGGGGGCAGCAGCAATATGTAAAAAAAAACTCTTTAAAGATGATCCAAGCTTTCGGAAATTTAATTACTTATTTCCATCATCAGGGAATCTATAAAAGGTGTGGTGTGTCTTCATAAGAACTTAATATTATTAAGAGAGTGAGTTACTTACATCTTTGTGAGGATGAATTACTAATGATGTTAAATATGTTAAATGTTATGATTGTGATGCACATATAGAACTTCTATTGCACAGTTTTACAATATAAGTTAAAATTATTGTGGTTAAAATTCAGTTACATAGAATTATGTCAAGTTTGAAATTTAACTGTTATGTAAAATTATATGTCATTCGTTGTCTATGTATACAAGTGTGTTAGATTAAATATAGAAATTACTAATAAGGAACCTAGTTAGGAAGATTACTTTGTACCTAAATTATTATTTAATAAATGTTTCATCTGAGAATGTAATTTGATTAATTATTTCATCATCAACAAAACTGTCACTAATTGTTGTGATGAATGAAAGGATGTTGTATAATTATTTCATCAAAAACAATACTGTCACCATTGTTATGATGAAAGGTTGAATATTAAAAGTTTTTAATCAGACTTGTATCATAAAAGGTGGTCATTTAAAAGTTAGATTTCATCTGCAATAATACTGTCACTATTATTGTGATGAAGGGTTGTATTGGTGTTGAGTAAGTATGAGTAAATAGCATGTTTTATGTCCGTCCTTTTATTAATACAATTTTGATTTTGATATATCCAAGCCATTTCTAAGAAGAGTCTTTTGGTATAATTGGATTCTGTGTCAAGAATCTTAGATGCATCATAGTCCATTCTGTGGTCTAAACTGTTAACATGTTCAGCTAAAGAGCACCTTTCAGGGTGTAACCGTGCGTCACTTCTGTGAGAGATTATTCTGTTACATAGTGATCTAGATGTTTCACCAATGTATACTTTATCACAATCTTTGCATGGAATCTGATAAACAACATTACATAAGGCTTTTAATGGTGTTTTGTCCTTTACTTTGGTGTAAATAGAGTTTATAGTTAGTACTGTTTTATTAGCTATTTTTACATTTAACAGTGATTTTAATATTCTAGCTATTTTTGGTGTAATATCTCTTATGTAAGGTAAACTTATGTGTTTTGCTATAGTAGTGATTTCATTATTGTTAACGTTGTTGAGATTGTTATAAATACTATTATTATTATTATTATTATTATTATTATTATTATTATTATTAATATTATTATTATTATTATTATTATTATTATTATTATTATTATTATTATTATTATTATTATTATTATTATTATTATTATTATTATTATTATTATTATTATTATTATTATTATTATTATTATTATTATTATTATTATTATTATTATTATTATTATTATTATTATTATTATTATTATTATTATTATTATTATTATTATTATTATTATTATTATTATTATTATTATTATTATTATTATTATTATTATTATTATTATTATTATTATTATTATTATTATTATTATTATTATTATTATTATTATTATTATTATTATTATTATTATTATTATTATTATTATTATTATTATTATTATTATTATTATTATTATTATTATTATTATTATTATTATTATTATTATTATTATTATTATTATTATTATTATTATTATTATTATTATTATTATTATTATTATTATTATTATTATTATTATTATTATTATTATTATTATTATTATTATTATTATTATTATTATTATTATTATTATTATTATTATTATTATTATTATTATTATTATTATTATTATTATTATTATTATTATTATTATTATTATTATTATTATTATTATTATTATTATTATTATTATTATTATTATTATTATTATTATTATTATTATTATTATTATTATTATTATTATTATTATTATTATTATTATTATTATTATTATTATTATTATTATTATTATTATTATTATTATTATTATTATTATTATTATTATTATTATTATTATTATTATTATTATTATTATTATTATTATTATTATTATTATTATTATTATTATTATTATTATTATTATTATTATTATTATTATTATTATTATTATTATTATTATTATTATTATTATTATTATTATTATTATTATTATTATTATTATTATTATTATTATTATTATTATTATTATTATTATTATTATTATTATTATTATTATTATTATTATTATTATTATTATTATTATTATTATTATTATTATTATTATTATTATTATTATTATTATTATTATTATTATTATTATTATTATTATTATTATTATTATTATTATTATTATTATTATTATTATTATTATTATTATTATTATTATTATTATTATTATTATTATTATTATTATTATTATTATTATTATTATTATTATTATTATTATTATTATTATTATTATTATTATTATTATTATTATTATTATTATTATTATTATTATTATTATTATTATTATTATTATTATTATTATTATTATTATTATTATTATTATTATTATTATTATTATTATTATTATTATTATTATTATTATTATTATTATTATTATTATTATTATTATTATTATTATTATTATTATTATTATTATTATTATTATTATTATTATTATTATTATTATTATTATTATTATTATTATTATTATTATTATTAATATTATTATTATTATTATTATTATTATTACCTGTCTGTGACTACCTACGCTAAGTTTAAGTGTTTTTAAAAAGTTTTAATTGGAAAAAATTAGTGCATTCTGCTCAGTATAGTGCATTTCATTACTGGTATTGTTGGCAAGTAGAAAGGCTTAGTTACTAATTTTTATCTATGTAAACACGTGTTTATTATTCGAATTGTTGGTTATAAATAGTCGATATCGCTGTTAATTGACTAGTTTTTGTTACTTCTGCTGGAAACCTATTCCACCAGCGGTAAGTTCAATTTATTGAATTGTCGAAAAATATATTTTTAATTCGCATTAAACATGCCGGATAAAGTCAAATCAGGACAAAACTGTGCCAGGTGCAAAAACCCTTGCAAAACGGGATTAAAATGTATTAAATGTGGAGTACTTTCACATAATAGCTGTTTGGAAAAGATCAGAAATGTCCAAATGCTCAATGATGGATCAGTCATATGTTGTGCTGGCACTGATGCTAGCTCACTAAATAGTTCCCAGAAAGTAGCAGAACAACTCCCTGCCGCCGTAATAGAACCGGGTATTGATGTGGACAAAATAACTATTAAATTTTTAGAGAAGTTAAATTTACAGAAAGATCTAACTATTAAAAATCAAGAGATCGCAATAAATGCTCTGATCGAACAGGTCTCCCTACTTAAACAAAGAACAGAAGAACTTCTTATTTTGGGTACAGTTTCTCCCACTACAGCGCATGACGGAAACTGTGAGCAAAAGCAAACTGGCTTGCAAAGGCACATAACTAACAAAGATGCGTCCTTAGCTATAATGACAGCGCAAACAAGGAACACCTGCGGAGGTGTAATTAATCTGAATAACGATGTAAACCCACATCGTAGAAATAACTCAAGAAGAATCCTAACGGGGAAAAAAGAATCGTTAGAAAATTGTCCGTTTAAAGCTGCAGTAAACAACGCCCAGTCACATTATCATGTTACTAACATGGGCCCCGACACTGATCAATCTGAACTGCAAATATACCTAAAAGGGTTCGCCCCAAATGTGCAAGTCGTTAAAATGAATGCCAGAAGACCGGATCTCTATTCATCATTCAAAATATCAGTACCAAGAGATGAAGCCGAACCCATCTTAAATTGTGAAATATGGCCCACTGACGTTATCGTAAATGAGTTTTTTCCACCAAAGCGTTCCTCTGAACATTACCGACAACGCAGAGGTGACACATCCACCAAGTGAAATCTATATTTCTGACTTCCAGCACTCCCTGTTTCACATCAATGTCCAAAGTATTTTTAATAAAATTAATGAACTTCAGGTAATTCTCAATGAAAAACCATTCAACATTTTATGCGTATCCGAACACTGGCTAGATTTAAATATTTTGAAATCAATTAAGTTGCATAATTATAGATTAGTTTCTTCCTTCTGTCGAAAATCCCGTAAGTTACATGGAGGGGTAGCCATTTTTGCCCGAGAATTTGTAGAGATTAAAGAGATTAATGTATCTAAATTTTGTAAAGCTGTAGACGCAGAGTTCTGTGCCGCCGAATACGGGAAAAATACTGCGATCGTAACCTTGTACAGATCTTCAAGTAAAGGTAACGTTTCAGTATTTGTAGAGAAACTAACAGATATAATTGAGGCACTTCTACATACCTATAAATCACTTATCATAGTTGGTGATATTAATATTGACATTGATGGGAATACAGAGACTGCTGGAGATCTCCGTAACATGTTCCATAGCTATGGTCTTAAACATTTGGTTCATACACCTACCAGAATCACAATGACAACAAAATCATGTCTAGATAATATAATAACAAACATATGTCAAAATAACATGATTTCTGGCGTTTATGAACCACTGATATCTGATCATTCTGGCACATATATCCTGTTTAACCCCAAATCTCTTGCAAAAAACGTTTCATATAAGAAAAGAATTATTAATAATGATAGTTTAGTAAACTTTGCAGGATATTTGGATGAGATTCGTTGGTCTGATTATAATTTAAATAATGCAAATTCTTGTTCTTCTGCGAATATTATATTAGATATTTTACAGTCAGGCCTAAATGTATGTTTTCCACTGAAATCTATTTCACATAAAAAAATAGGCTTAAAGTGGTTCTCAAGTGAATTAAAAATATTGCGCCAGGAAGTTCATTCTTGTAGGAATAAGTTTAAGAATTCTAACTCACCCCAAGACTGGTACACCTACTCGGAAAAAAGAAAACAATACAAAAAGGCACTTAAACAAGCCAAACGAAATTCTTATGAGGAGTTTATCTATACTTCAAACAATAAAAATAAAGCTATTTGGAAAGTTGTAAATGAGGAGAGACACGGGAAAAAGAAACAGGTATATCATACAACCTTAGATGCAAATCAGTTTAACACTTTCTTTTCAACTGTAGCAGATGTCATTCTACAGAACTTAAATATGTCAGATACTGATCCCATGTCGTACCTCAGTACTTTGCCTCGACCTGCTTCGTCCTTTTTCATGGCTCCGATTATTGAGTCAGACGTAAAAGAAGCAATACTTGCTTTAAAAAATAAACCGTGCGTTGATCATTACGGCATAAATAGTGCAATGTTAAAAGTCGCGATAAATTCACTTGCGAAACCACTAACCATTTTATTTAATAAGTGCATAGCCGAAGGCAAGTGGCCGGATGATCTTAAGATCTCTAAAATAATTCCCATACACAAAAAGGGCGATACTGACACTCTGAATAACTACAGGCCTATTGCGATCGTTCCTGCAATTTCCAAAGTATTTGAAAAAATCTTAAAAGAAAAATTGGTTTCTTATTTAGACAGCAAGTTGCTAATTAATACTGCTCAATTTGGTTTTCAGAAGAACAAATCTACAGTACAAGCATTGCTGAAGGTACTGGATTACATAGTCGAGGGCATTGATCAAGGAGTTGCAACACACGTTACAATGTGTGACTTGACCAAGGCATTCGATTGTGTAAATTCAGAAATATTATTGAATAAGCTTGAGTTTTATGGGATAAGGGGCGGTACTCTACAGTTGTTCAGAGAATATTTGAAAAACCGCTCGCAATACGTAGTCTTAAATAATTTCTCTTCAAGTATTGTCAGTATCAGTAACGGTGTACCTCAAGGGTCCATTCTGGGACCTATTCTTTTTCTCATATACATCAACGACTTGCCGTCGGCGATGCACGAACTGACGAGGTCTATACTATTCGCAGACGATACCAATTTTTTAACCAGGGATTGTGAGTCCAGCAGAGTTAACCTCGATATGGCTAAAACTTGGTTTACATCAAACAAATTAATGCTTAACAACAATAAAACACATACAATTACCTTTACCTCAGACAAATGGGTAAAAAAATCAGAACCGGCCAAAATGTTGGGCATCACTTTTGATAGTGGTCTAAAATGGTCAAACCATATCGAGGAACTCTGTTCGAAGCTCTCGATCCAAATATATGTGCTGAGACAGCTGCGCATAAACGTCACCAGTAATGAGGCAATGAGAACGGCATATTATGCATTAATCGAGAGCCACATTACATATGGACTGGTTTTGTGGGGTAGCGCCACTGCAGCTGGAAAAGTCTTTATCTTACAGAAGACTGCCTTACGCATTGTCGATGCTGCACAACGCCGAGCCCATTGCAGAGATCTATTTGTAAAATATAAAATACTTACTGTGCCATCTTTATTTATTTTGCAAACAGCTTTAGAAATACACAAAAATGTAAGAAATATTCCAACTCACAATAACATCCATGAGTACAATACAAGGATATCTGAACTACTGGTGGTGCCGCACTCGCGCATCTGTCTCACCAAAAATAATAAATTAAACATTAATGTATATAATAAGTTAGTTGTTATTTTTAAAGACCATAATTTTAAAAATATGCAAGAAAGTAGGTTCAAAAATATTATTAAAACGTTTTTATTAGAAAATAGTTTTTACAGTGTGGACGAATTTTTACAATTTTAATTTTAATTTTAACCTTGTGACGTGGTTATTCATAATTGTATATTATATTTTATATTTTTTTACTCCTTGTTGTTAATTATTAGATGTTCCTAGTTATTTGACTATGTGTATATTTATGTACTATTATTGAGTGTTAGATTAGTAGCCAAAAAAATTAGTGTTTTCAAATTATTTTAAATATATATTTTGTCATTACTTTTTACAGTACTCCGTTAACTAAGTATTATCGATTTATATTATTTAATATGTACATTTTTATATATCTATTTCTGTATTCTTGTGTATGACTTCAATGTACCACCCATTGTATGAAAGAGGTCAATAAACGTCTATTCTATTCTATTCTATTATTATTATTATTAATATTATTATTATTATTATTATTATTATTATTATTATTATTATTATTATTATTATTATTATTATTATTATTATTATTAATTATTATTATTATTATTATTATTATTATTATTATTATTATTATTATTATTATTATTATTATTATTATTATTATTATTATTATTAATATTATTATTATTATTATTATTATTATTATTATTATTATTATTATTATTATTATTATTATTATTATTATTATTATTGTCAAAATTATACGCAGTTAGCGCTAGTATCGCTTTGCTTCCTATACCATGACTTCGCAATGAGCGAATAGGCATTGAGAAATTTTCTTGCTGCATTAGCGACAGAAAGGGACACACTAGATCTTTTAGGTCGCACCCCATTCCAAACATAACATAAATAATTGGTGATGGCTTTAAGTCCTACAGCTTAGGTAATTTAGTTTAGTTTTTGTTTTTTAAACTTTTGCAAAACAAAAGGGAAAACTGTTAAAGTTAAATTTCTATCTTTGTAAAAGGTTGCAAAATAGAGTACGCCAAAATTAACAGATTAGGTTAAGTAAAATATACAGGGTGATTCATAACTATTGGGACATAGGCTAAGGGTAGTTTATTTGGACCACAATATGGCGATAGGATTAAATATACCTGAATAAAATATTATTGTGCAATAAGATACAGGGCGTTAAAGTTCATTTTTTTTTGTGTTTTTTTTCTGATATTGTAACTGTGTATTTATAAATTGTTATCAAAATCGGCGCAAAAATGCATATCTCTGGACAAGGAATGTTATTTTATGTATCATTTCACATTATGTTACAGGGGTGACACGTGAATGATCCCTGATGATGAAATTAAGTGTTAGCTTTTCTTGACGAAACTTCTTAGTATTTTTGATTGGAAAATATTGTTACACATCACCCTGCAGTAGCCTGCGGCTATCATAGGAAACGTACAGATAGAAAAAGAAGTGGAATGTTACTCATCGCTCTACAGTGTGCTGCGGTCGTTGTAAGTAAAAGTACAAGTAAAAGAAGATAGAATATTCCAGAAATGTAATTAGGTTCGAGGTTGGAGACGACCCGACGTCAGAGTTTCAGTTTTATGATAGACGTTACACGTTAATGTTAAAGTTGAATTGAGTTATTGTAAAGTTGAGTTGAAATAAATTGTGATACCAAAAACCAGTGTAACAATATGATGTAAACATTTCTACGTAATATTGGTACTTTTGTTTAAACACGATAATTTCACCCGTTTTCAAGAAAAACGCAATTGAACAGTTCACAAGTGTCAGATGGAGAGTTTTAAAAAAATTATTTTATTTATAAAAAAATGCTTTGCAGTGTAAGATAATTGTATCTGGTACATATGTTATTTCTTGTCAGTGAATTATTTTTGCTGTGAGATATTATTATTAATATTATTATTATTTAACGTCGTGTATCTTATTCCACAGCAATATTTTGTTAAGGTATTTTTGGCCTTATCGCCTTATTTTGGTCCAAATAACCTGCCATAAGCATACGTCCCAATAGTTATGAATCACCCTGTATATATTCCATATCATTAAAAAAATTATTAAACTAGTTAATTTTTCTATAGTATTTTATAAATCTAAAACTTCTACTGTTTTTTCATTACTTGCTTATATTTTTTAATTTAAATGATTTTTTTATGTTATGTATATTTAATTAAACATCATTTCTTAGATATAATTTCGTCGTGAATACTTATAGGGGGAAAGCGACCCTGTATCCCTTGTGTCGAGTTTACCTGTAAAATTTGCTGCGATAACCACTTTG